AGGAGGCTCAGACCTGTAATCCTGGTGCTCTTGGAGGCTGAAGCAGGAGAATGACAGGCACAAACCCAGCCTGGGCAAGTTAGCAACTCAGTAAGACCTTCTCTCAAAACTAAAATAAAATTAATTTAATTTAATTTAATTTAAAAGATTTAGACTACAGCTCAATGCAAAGGCCCTGGATTCTATCCCTAGTACCAAGCAAAACAAAAGCTTTAGGACTATTTCTATTCAAGTTATACCAGATTTGAATTCCAAGACTAAACATCGGCTTTACTGTAGCTTAGCAAAAAGATTTTCATTTATCTCTAGAACATTCTGTAGCATGATAACTCTACAGAATCACATGGGCATAACTGTCTAAATAAGATTCATTTTAGGGCTGGCCAAATAGCTCAGCAGATTAAAGCACCTGCAAGCAGGCGCTGGGACCGGAGATTCAATCCCCAGGCCTGCCGTGCCAGCCTCGCCTCCTGGGCACACTGAGCCGGCAATTGAGACTGGGCGTGGTGGCACGCGTGTGTAATCCCAGCTCTTGGGAGGCTATAAACAGGCGGATCATTCCGAGCCCAATCTAGTAGTGAGACGGTGAACACCCTGTAGATCCTTCTCTAAAAATACAAAAAAGAAAAAAAGATTCCTGATATCAGCAAAGGGAACCATACATTACTTGGAATCCTGAGAAAACCAAATAACCCCTTGTCTATGAGAATTCACTCAGCAAATTGTTTTCCTTGGTCTCCAGAAGGCAGCCCCTGGGGGACAGAAGCGACCAGTCCCATACAGGCCTTCTTTTCTGAATGAGCTTCTAAAGCACCATTCTCAGGAAACCAGACGATCCTTCTGCCTAGGTGAGCTCTAGGATTTGGAATGCAGTGTATCAGCAGTCGTGACCTCACTGAGGCAGGTTGTGATGCGTAGTAGGCCATCACTTCATCCCCAAGTCACAGCGTAAGGGACCACAGTGTTGTCTAGATCATCATTGTTGAATTTAGTAGGTGACTGGATTGAAATTCCTATAAGTAATTTGATTTGAGCGTCTGATTTCAGTTACTTTACTGTTGTTCGCACTTCTTCCTTGAGAGAACACTGTAAATCATTAAGTTTAAAAAGTGAGAACTGGAGCCGAATGTGGTGGTGTATGCCTGTAATCCCAGCACACAGGAGGCAGAGGCAGGAGGATCGCTGTGAGTCTGAGACCAGCCTGGGCCACAAAGTGAGCTGAAGGCCGGCCTGAGCTGCATAGCGAAGCCCTATTTCAACAAAATAAAATCAAACCAGAAAAAAAGAGACATGTTAAGAGTTGTCGCTCAGTGACAGAGAAGATACTTAACATGCTTGAGGCCCTTGACTCGACCCCCAGCACTGTGTAAATGGATGAATGTAGTTGTCCACAATGAATGAATGAATGAACTTTCAACTTATCCTTTTAGACTTCAGTTCAATCCCCTTGAATACGTCAGCCCTCAGTCTTTCAGGAGGTTTTCAGGGTGCTTATTTGTTTGTTGAGCTCAAATTTGCAATCTTTCTGCCCCATACTCCGAGGGTGCTGGGTTAACACTTGTGAGACCCCTCCTCATCTCACTGTTTTGTTTTTCTAAAAGGACAGTGCCTGCTGGAAATGTGGGACGTTACTCTGTGTTTCTAACAGGAAGCCTCTTCTAGGCTAAACCATTTCTTCACAGAATACATTGTAGCGGCCCCATTTTGGAAACAGCCTGCATGCATGTGTGACTATGTGTGTACGTGTGTGTGTGTACATGTGTGTGTGTACATGTGTGTGTGTACATGTGTGTGTGTGCGTGTGTGTGTATGGTGCTGAGAATTAAGACCCATACCCTACATACTGAGCTACTTCCCAGTCTTTTAACTTTTTTTTTTTTTTTTTTAAGGACTCACTAAGCAGCTAAGTCGCCCAGGCTGGGTTCAAATTTATGGTCCTCCTGCCCCAGCTTCCCAGAGTGCTAGAATTATGACATGTGCCACCATGCCTGGCTAAAACATAGACCTATCAATCTCGCTAGAACAGCTGACATTATCCCAGGAAAGCACACATACAGTTTACATCCACTTCCCCCAGAGGGTCTGTGAATCCCATGGAGTCTGCTTGCCAGACTTCTGAGGATGAGTGGCCCTCCCCAGAGCCCAGATCTCAGGTGGAGAGCCCCAGTGCGCAGATGCAATTACTAGCGCAAGGCCTGTGTGTGTCCCTCCAGCCCCTGCCCCTCCCGCTCTACATGCATTTTAATGGGAACTCAGCACAGCTGATTCCCATTACACTGGCGGACTTTGAGTTTCAGACTCCAGCAACAGTAAGCAATAAAAAAAATTGGGAGCCAAGGCTAAGTTATTACTTATTTTCTGTTATGGGATATGTTCATTTTTTTTCCAGAACTTTGATACACGATTACAGCCAATGACCCATATACCCCAAAACCTCCATATCAAGGACTGAATAGCTGGAATCCTGATGCAGTTGTTATCTAAAATATCCCCTGAAAGACTCGTTAGAGTTGAAGCTGATGGGTTTTGGGAAAGTGACTGGATTCTGAGGACTATGATTTTATCAGGGGATTAATATAAACTACGAGGTCATAATTTAACGGCATTATCATGAGGTGACAGACAAAGGAGTGAGGCCTAACTGAAGGCGTAGCTCATGAGAGCCTGATGGGGGTACTGTGGCTGGTCTCACTTCACCCCCTGGCTTCCATGAGGGACACAATTTTCTCTACTGCACGCTTCCACTGTTACGTTTCAAAAAAAAAAAAGAATACTATTTATGGGCCGGGGAGATGGCTCAGTAGAATAAGTGCTTCCCTGGCAAGCACAAGGGCCTGAGTGCAATCCCGATTCCGCCAAAAAAAGAAAAAGAAAAAGAAAAGAATCACTGTGATGTTTCTGCCTCAGTGCTCACCCCTAAACAATGGACCAGACCACTGACTGAACCCTATGTAACCATGAGCCAAAGGAAGCCTTTGCTCCTCTAAGTTGATTTTGTCAGATGTCTCAGCACAGCGACAAAAAAGCAGACTGATGCAAATCCTGACTAAGCAGATTTGTGAGCCCAGATCCCAAACATAAAAATGGTTAACAAACTACTCCTTTGCAGGAAGAAAATTCATATTACATCAGTGAACTAGGAGCCCATCTGACTGTCTCAAATCCAGGTTAGTGCTGCGAGAACAGCTTTCTGACCAGCAGTGATGCTTTCTTTCTGGTTAGCTTATTCTGCCTGCCACAGTTGCTTACTTTTGATGCTGCGTTTAAGAAACAAAATGAAAAAGTTGCTTACAATGAAGCCTAGCAGGATTTCCTCCCCGTGTGCACTTGGGATAATCCATCTGCTAGAGAACATCACCAGCAATGTAACTATAGTGACTTTTTAACAGATGTGCTGCTGACAGGGCTGTTTATTCTGTGCTCTTGAAATCATGCATCGTTCTATAAGAACATGATCAGGTGCTGCACTCAATCTGTGTTAGGGATTGTGGGTCCGTCACTTTTAGTCCCTGCCCTGGTGGAGGAGGCTTACTTCCTGGAAGGGGAGGGGACCACATGCAGACACACTAACTTATATCACACTGTTCAGTGGTGAAGAAGTCCGTGAGTGAACCACGCAGGATGGAGAGGAGCACAAAGCTACTTCAGCTGGACCTCAGGGCAGACCAGGGGATGCGGGTCCCCTGACAAAGTGAGCTCTGAGCAGGGGGATCACGACTTGGGGAGAGTCGTTTTTGCCAGATGGCAGAAACAACAGAGGCATGCACCCTGCAGAGTGAGCTGGTCAAGGTGCCTGATGACCAGTGGGGTGTCCCTGTCATCACAAGAGTGAGCACAGGGCAGAGGGGGCTCAAGGGACAGTTGGGCAGAGCACACGAGGCCTGTGGGCAAAGCTGCTGAAGACTTTGGATTTACTCTAAAGTGTGAACAGATACCGTGGAAAGGCCTAGTGTAAGGAAAGGAGGGATGAGATTTACATTTATCGAGGTCCACTTCTGTTGCTGTACAGGCAATCATCCATACTGGGGAGAGCTGAAAAGCCCCTACAATGTTCACTTATGGGGCAATGATGCTCCCAAGCCAGCCCAGTGATTCTCTGGAAGGTCCCGGATGTTTCCCAAAAAAGTTGAGTCTTAGAAAACAGACCTCTGCGAATCTTTCTCTGGATCAGGGGTTGTCATGTTTGTTCCCTTCTTTGCAAAGTTCTATCTTTTGATTAGCTTAAATATTATTTTATTAATTAAATATCTTGCCAGGCATGGTGGTGTACACCTGTAATCTCAGCACCCAGGAGACTGAGGCAAGAAGGTCATCCCAAATTTAAGGCTATCCTAAGCTACATAGTGAGAACCTTGTTTTGTTTCTGTTTTGTGTTTGTTTGTTTGTTTGTTTGTTTTTTAAAATAAGTAGCATACACTAAAGAAATCTACCAAGAAACAAAAATACAGAATAATATCTACTTAAAATACTCCCTCAATTACATTAATATTATTCAAGGGAATTTTGTCAATGATTTATTGACGACCCGCTTTCATATACACGAGCTCACTTAGGCGGGTATCTTCGGGCTGTCCGGGGAATAAGTACTATGAGCACTGACGCTGCTTAGCTAAGCCTCATCACCAGGTATGCAGCAGATTTTTACAGGGCAGCAATCTCTCAAAAGCCACAGGAAGGGAAAATCAGACCAGAAATGAGAGACCCAGGATGGGGAGAAACAATTCTAGGTCTCAGGGATCAAGGCTCAGGGTCGGCAGCCGAAGCTGCAACGGGCACAGTGGTGATCTTCATGTCGAGGTCGTGGTATAAGCAGTAGCGATCCGTTGTGACCCACAGTACGGACGATGGTGACATTCAGAGGAGTCATGGTGGTGGCATGGTGGCACACACAGAGGACCAGGGCACCATCCAGCTGGTTGACTTCTCATGTGACCACGCCAACGGGCCGAGACAGCTGGCTCACCTGGCCATCAAGGTTTCTTCTCATTCAAGAAGCCAAATTATAGTCAGAAGAGCGCTTGGCAGATGTGATATGAGGGCAGATGAAGTTCATCCCTTGACTACCACCTCCTCCAAAGGTTGTGCGTGTCATAAAAGAGGGTTGGCCAGGAGCCGCAGAAAAGTCTCCACGCACAGGGCGCTTTTGCCGAGGAGAGGGTGCCAGGACCCAGGAGGCCATGCATGCTTGAAGGGAAACCACTGAGTGGCCCGCAGACAGCCAGGCAGCCCCTGGAATTCACCGGATTCCTGTGTGTGCCTCGCTCTTTCTCTTCAGAGAAAGACTTCCAGGGGCTGAAAAGCTCGATGGTGCTCTTCGAGACGGTGGCCGGGCACTCCTTCCAGTGTGTGAGCGCGCAGATCACGCCGCTGTCGCCTCAGCTTCAGCTGAAAACAAGGAACGTCCAGCTGCAAGCCTTTGACTTCGAGGGTGACCGCTTCGGAAACGGTAGGTCTCAGGCCCTCAGGGACCGGGGGTTCCGAGCTGGGTTCTGGCCCGAGCCATCACGGGCTCGGGAGCTTCTAGAACCCTGTTGCCACCCAGCCTACCGCTCAGCTGCCCTGGCCTTTCCCGCCACCTCCTCCACGCACACCATTTCCGCCCGGGTGTGTCCATGATGTGACCAGCGCACAGTCCCCTTCACCGACTCAAGCAGGCACCTCCGCGAGAGCCGGGCAGCGTCCGAGTGGCCCTTCTCGTAACTGCAGCTGAAGCCTGGGCATCTCGGGGTGCTGGGAGAATTCTTTAAAGGTCCTGAGTATTAATCATTCAGGATTTCAAAATAGCTTTTTCCCGCCTGCAGAGGGAAAGGAGTTGTGGTAATTCAAGCGAAGAGCAATTCGGTTGGGTTCCCCCTTCCCAGTTGCAGCCCCACCCCCACACCCAGTGTTTCCTTTGTGGCCCTTTTCCTTCTCCTCTAACTGCCTTCGGCTCTAGCTCTGCACCAGCACCACCAGCACTTGCCTGCCGCTGCCTGGGCAGTCCTGGGGTGAGGTCCAGGGGCAGGCCCGGGTGACCTTGTGGACAAAGCCCTTTTCTCCTGCCCAGAAGGCAGGGTGACAAGGACTCCACATATCAGGAGGCTCATGGACTTCCATTCTCAAAACAGCCCTCTTGAAAGAATTCAAAGTTGTTATGAGTGCTTTTCAATCATCCAAAATAGATTTAGCCAGTGTTGCTGTTACATTTCTCAAGTACAAACCCGGTTTCACTCTGGGTTCCATTATAAAATTAAAGATGGGTCTAGTAGGAAACTCCTCCTAACACTGTGGAAACCATTTAAACGATGTAATGTTGCTTGCCCTGGAGCCCTGATTTTTATAGGGCTTGTCTATATCTTAGAGTTTGAGGGGAAGCAAAATTTCACCAATTTACCCAGACTGGGCTTAAACTGTCAATCCTCCTGCCTCAGCCTTCCAGACTGCTGAGGTTCTGGGCACACGTCACCACACCCAGCTTAATCAAGTGATGACATAAGGCACATGCTTGTTCACCTTTCTGATTAGAACCTCTTGAGGCAGGGGTGGAGCTGGGCTTGGGAATAAAGCCTTTCAACAGCTTTGGCTCCTACTAGCGATGTTCACAGGCAGATATGAAAATAGTGTTTTGTTTTCGTTTTGTGACACCAGGAATTGAACTCAGGCCCTTCACACTAAACTGCAGTCCCAGTGCTTGTAATTCTTGTTTGTTTGTTTGTTTGTTTTTGTGAGAGAGGGTCTCACTAAGTGGCTACACTGTCCAGGCTGTGCTCAAACTTGTGATCCTCCTGCCTCAGCCTCCAAGAGTGCTGTAATTACAGGCATCTGCTATCTTACCTGATGGAAAAGCTCTTTCCTTACTATTATTTTCTTAAAAATCACTGCTCATTGGAGTCTCTGAAGAAGAGACTTCACCATCCCTTCACTCCTCCCTCTCCTGCACCAAATGCTCACAGAACCCTGTCAATTCTACCACCAACAGCTCTCTGGTTCCCTGTCCCTGCCTGGAATGGAGAGCCAAAGCTCCTGGTGTTTCTGGCCTTGAGTCTCCAAGCGTGCTGTCACCCTCCCATCTCTGCAGCCACTGCCTCAGTTTCCCCCTTCATGGTTCGTGGTCCCCCATGATACCTGTTACTCTGGCTTCCATTACAGCCACTGAGTGCTTCAGTGACAGGAACAGGAGAAAAACCCCTGTGGCCATAGGCCTGAGTGTCGCAGGACTGCTGGTCATTTTGCTAATGGCCTGCCTGGTGGCCAGACAGAGACCAGGTGGAGGATACGAACGCGTGTAGCACTCCGCCACGTCCACATGGTGAGGCTGAGGCGTGGGATGTCAGAGGACTGAAGGACTGAGTTCTTGGGTGGGGGGAACCTAGCTTTCCACCAAAGACCCCAAAGGCTAGCAAGAGGGGCCCCTCAAGGGAAATGGGGGGCTACTTCAAGAATAGGGGCCACAGGGGCTAGGGAGATAGCTCAGTGGTCTAAGCGCCTGCCTGGCAAGCTCAAGGACCCGGGTTCAATCCCAGGTACCGTATGCTGTGCCAGCCCTGCACCAAGCTGGCCACCAAAACCAGGCATGGTGGTACATGCCTATAATCCCAGCACTTGGGAGGCTGAAAACAGGAGGATCACTATGATTCTTCTCTGTGTAGTGAGACCCCGTAGACCCTGTACTAAATACATTTTTTAAAATCTGGCTTATGATGTTCATAGTTTTATAATACACTGATGGTTTAAATATGAAAACTGGGTTTGAGTATGAAGAAAAAGAACATGATGTTCTTAGCTGATTTTTATTAATAAAAAGGATTCTTATTTCCTATATTTTCCCAAATCATCACTCTTTTTGTTTTTTGGTCTGTTTGAGACCAGTAGTTCAAGCTGGCCACAAACTCAAAGTGATCCTCCTGCCTCAGCCTCCTGAGTTCTGGGATTACAGGCATGCGCCACCACATCTGGCTTCCACTCATTATTTTAAACAGAAAGCATGTGTGAAATTTGGCAAGAACTGTGTACCTCCTGCTTATCTAGGAAGTGGAGTCCTTGGAGAATGTTAGCTTTCTCTGCTTTCTTAGAAGTGAATGAGGCACTGAGTGGGTTCAAGAGAGGCTTAAGAGCGGCTAAAGACGCCCAGTGCCAGGAAACGCCTGCTTCCCCCTTGGAACAGGGGTGTTGACAGGAATCTGCCTGGTGAGGGCCCCGGGGCCCCAGAGTGGCTCAGGGAGGACAGCCAGGCCAGGCCCTGGAGGGAGCTAGCCTCACCTCCTTCCCTTCCGCCTGCCCTGTGCCTGCCCCGAGCCCCAAGGGGGCTGCGCTCAGGGCTCCTGAGCCACGGTCCAGCGCAGCGCAGATGCAGTGCTTCACTGAGCCACCAGCCGCTGGAGAATGACTCCAGTTTACCTTCTCACGTGAGGACATTTCTCCTACAGCAGATGGAAACAAGAATCAAAATTTTCATATTGAGACAGCAGGCCATAGTGGCACTCGCCTGTCATCCCAGCACTCGGGAGGCTAAGCCAGGAGGATCACTGTGAGTTCGAGGCCAGCCTGGCTACATAGTGAGACCCACTCTCAAAAAAAAAA